CCCCAAATGTGACTAAAACTCCAAATCTCATTCCTAGAGTGCTAGATTTGCAAAAAAAAAAAGAAAAAAAACGCATGTGAATCGTTATTTTTTTTGAAGATTTTTCAAATTTTGAAAAAAGATGACAAAAATATGTAAATTTTTTCATTTTTTTATATCTTGTGATTTCTTTTTTTTATTGAGTTTTTAAATTTATGTTGATCTACACTTCTTACATTCAAAATCACATTTTTTTTGTGTTATCAGTAGATTTATGAAATTTCATGAAGATATTTGGGGAAATATAAATTAACAAAAAAATTGAAAATATAATATAAAAAATCACAATTTTTTTATTTTTTATATTTTAAGAATTAAAAAATAATTAATAATTAATTATATTTTATCATTTGATCACAACAATTAAATATATTATAATTCTATGGATGATCTATCATATCCACATACCAATTGAAATTTCTTCTTTAATAATTATTTTTTTATTTTTTTTTATTTTTAGAATTAAAAAATAATTAATTATATTTTATCATTTGATAACAATGATCAAATATATTATAATCCTATGGATGATCTATCATATCTACAAAGCAATTGAAATTTCTTCTTTAATAACTATTTTTTAATATATTATATAATGTTTATTTAATTTTATAATTTTTAAAAAATAAATAATTATTGTTTAAATAATAAATAATTATTAATTATCACTTAAAGCTGTGCTAATGCATAATTTATGGTTGGATAGGAGAGTTGGGTTTTTCCCATCCCATAAAACATTAAAACTTAATAACTATAATTTATAAATTATAGTTAAGCAAAAGGTTTGTAATGAAAGCACGATTAACTATAATATATTTTTTCATAAAACTATTAAAGTATATTAATTTAATGTATATACACTTCATTGGGGTCTTATATTTAGTGTTGTTATGTAACTTTTATGATTTATTAAAATATTTATAGTGTTCCCAAGCTTATCTATGTATCTTAAATTTTCTAAGATACACATGGTATCCAAGATGTATCCCGATGTCTCTTAAAATTGTCTTTCCAATACATTTAACATTTCCAATACTTTGAACCTTGACTCTAATGGCTTTTTTCTGTAATGCTGTCATACTTTAGGTTCAAATATTCAGAAAATGAAAACAATGTTTCATTTTCTGAGTGGCGTATGGTACATGATCCACAAAATGAAAACAATGTTTCATTCGTAGCATTTCTCTTCCACAATTTATAATGTTGATCAATGTGCTTCAGTCCATAGGTAAGAGACTCCTATCTGAAATTTTGGATCTGTGAAAAGCATCCAACTTCTATTGCTGCTGCTGAAACATGTGGCCATAGGGGTTCAGTAATTCATTCACCTCGTAACAAGATGATCAACAGCCAAAAAATAGCTTCCTACAATTATAAAGGACGCAAACCCACTGCGGGCCATCCGCAACCAAATCCTACGAAATTTTGGATCTGTGAAAAGCATCCAACTTCTATTGCTGCTGCTGAAACATGCGGCCATATGGGTTCAGTAATTCATTCACCTCGTAACAAGATGATCAACAGCCAAAAAATAGCTTCCTACAATTATAAAGGATGCAAACCCACTGCAGGCCATCCGCAACCATATCCCACGAAACAGGAGGCTCCTATCTGCAGGGTGGATTCCTGAAACCCTCTCAATCCAATACCCTGGCTGTCTCCACCTCAGAAATTTCCTCTCCATGGAAACATACTGCAAATGATATTTCAACCACATTAAGCATTACAATTATGAAAATAGTAAAAAGAACTGCAATTTTGACTCATCATTTATGTAGGTTCATATGGTATAATGGTCAAAAACAACTTGTGTTTAATCTAATAAAACATTAACTACAACAGGAAAAAAGAGGAAAAGTAAAATCTGCTTAGTGTGGTCTTTACACGGGAGGGAGTGATGGAAAACATTAAAGATTCACTTTAAAAGTTCCATTACACGGAGTCCAATCAATTTTTTGTTTCATCAACACCACATTTCATTAACACGGAGTCCAATCAATAACAGACTCAATTGTAAACCGAATAACACTACCAAAGCTTTCCAGGTTAACTTGATATATAGTGAAGAACGATGAACCCAAAACAATATTGGGAGTAACATCAAAAACCCTGGAGAAACCAACCCTGACAGAACTTAACTGTCAAGTGTTATCATGTTTCATATATGCTAGGAGGTCTGAAGAAGCTCCGTAGTCATGATAATGCAAATATAATATTTTTTTTCCAATATGGCTTCCTCGAGGGGGGGGRAAAAGAAGAAATCGTGAAATAGAATCTCAACATTAAGAAAGCAATTTTGCAAACCTTGGGTATCACAATACACTGTGATCGACTTGTTGCAGTGTCAAAACAGTGAGAAGTAGCTGCAGCCATTGAACCAGAAATTCCAGCTGCAACACTAGCAGTTAAAGGGGAGACGGGGCCAATTTCTTCAATGGACCTAAATAAAAGAAAAAACCTGTGAACTCAGGGGCCAAAAGCAGGATCCTCAGATTACAGTTAGGTCTCAAATATTAACATAAAAGCAAGTTTACAAATATGCAAAGACAGTTCCCTCCAATAAAATTAAGTAATATATCTTAATAAGGATCAGGTTGGCAAGATGAAAAGAACCAAGATAGGTTGGGCCCACGGGCCACCTAAGTTGACTTGTCTCAATCCCCCTAACACCCTAGATATTCTCCTTGGGACTTGTGCCCAAACTATTTGGGTTAACTTTGGCGGTTGGGGCCCAACAGCATAGGCTGTTGAGACAGTTTCTGGGCTGGGCACATTCTGGGCAGTTCACCTATTCACGCCCATCCTTTGGTTTTTAGTCAAAATAAATTAATATGTAATTACTAATTTACCCATTCTCATGGTAATGTGGCATTTCCAGAAATTCTTTCAACAGCATAGGCTGTTGGCCCCCAACAGCTAAAGTTTTTCCAAACTATTCAGATCCACAATCTAATAAAACTTCCTTCCACATGACTCCAATAGCCCAATATAAATACAAAGCTTCAGCCCAAAATTTTATCTGGAACAAGTCATTTAAGTTTCTACTTACACCCTCATGAAAGTATGCATCTTCTGGAATTTCATACTGGAGCCTCCATTAAACCTAACCAGTTCATCCTAAACACTCTAAAACCTTGCACCATCCATAATCCCCAACTAAATCTCTTCAATTTTCAAAACTAAGCAAGTTACCCAATTGAATTTTCATGTTAAATCTCACTTTTGAGTGTATTGTCCTAGTGAGTCCTACATTATTAGGCCTGTCTTGTATAGGCTAAACTCACAAGTAGCACAATAAAACAAATCCGACCATCACAATGAAAGCCTCCATCCCGGAAGTATTCTCAGCATCCAGTTTTATGAAAGCTGTGTCATGATGTCTCTGCAATACTGTCATTACAAGGGACTGCTTCAGAGAACTGTGTAGACTGATCACATGCTTCAGTCTTCAGATATTATGGCATCATCATGATAAAGAGAAAGATATGACTAAGCCCAAATGTAGGAAACCCTACTCAGCTGAATGTCTATCCAAGAATAAGGATGGCTCAAAAGCCATGGGTTCAGGCAATTCACAAAGCTAGCAATTATAAAACTGCCCATTCAGAGGTAGAGGGATAATCATGTATATAGTACCTAATCAGGCAATAATAACCTCAGGTCAACATGCTTTTGATGTTGTTCAGACCTTGATGGGGCTAGGTCATGTTAAGTTAGGGATTGGTGTTGCACAACTAGTCATGCTTACTGATCCTGGATATTTTTTAACTTGTTGTACACAATGAAACAAATAATAGACACTTTGAACTTATCACAACCTTGGACTGGATCAAGTTTTGAATGCACAAGTCTAACTGATTGGTTAGTCAGATTAACATCGATCAAGGCCTAGGTTATATTAATACACCCAGTGATTTAGAAGGCATGCCTAGGCGCACAGGTGAGGCACATTTTAGGGTATCCACCTCATTTAGGTCCCAGGCAAAGCACTTTCAAAAGGTGCATGCCTAGTGTACCTTGCGCTTCAGCCCAGTTGCGCGCCTTTTGAAAATTTGTGCATTTTTTTCTCCTTTTTTTATGCGTAGCAGCTGGGTTGGAGCCCCCAATCAAGCTCCTTGAGGAAAGCCCAAACAAGTCCATATCAAGGTCTCTCTCCACTCTGGTTCACTCACTTGCCGAAGCTCCAAAAACCCCATATTTATAATGTTGCTCATCCATTCATCCTAATAAAAGATATTTTTAAAATACACTTAAAGTTATAAAAACCTTTCTATAGGGATTAAGAAATTAAGACCCTGATTTGGGCTTGTTTGGGCTTGCCTCAAGGGGGTTGGTACAAAGGTGGCTCATAGAATCAGGAATGCATAATGTTTAACATCACGTTAGCTATTCCTATCAAAAAAACATCACATTAGCTATTTGTCTATTTGAAGTAAAAGATATGGCCCTTGCGCCTTTTTTTCGCACCTTGCTCTCTTAAAACAATGAAAACAAATGCACACAGAGACAAAATACTGAAGCATCCAAGATGGTGACAAAATTGGTCCACAATGGTTTAAGATAGACCCACCCTAGAAGTGCCAAAAGCTTGTTATTGTCAAATTCTAATCCCATGAATAGCATATTATAAGTTTTAAGCCAGAAAATAATTGCTAATGCAAACAGATCACAATAGAGTAAGGTAAACTTGGACAACTTAAGAATATAATCACAAAGATCAATAGAAAAAGATAAGCTAAGAAACCAGAATAAAATAAAACAAGACAAAGCATGGAACAACAAGTATGAAGTCAAAGAATGTCTTTAAAAGAACTGATTCAGAGGTGTTAAGCTGAAAATGTTTATGGAGACATGAGTTTCAAACATAAAAATAAAAGCAGTACATGGTTAATGAAATCTACATCTTAGGGTCGATTTTTACCTGCAATTGAGAAACTTAGCCATATGGATTCTAAAATGCTTTATGCACAACTAACCAATGCCTCTGTAATCTGTTATTTTGATATTTCAATGACATGATATTTTTCTTGCGAGTAGTTATTTTAAGAATAAGGATCAATTTATGGAAAAATAAACATTTGATCTCCAAACTTATAAACAAGTAGAAAATGATCACTTTCTAGGATATGAAGAGAGATAGAGAAGATGCAGAGACAAGTTTTAAGAGTGCAACTGAAAGTAAGCATGATGCAGCAAACACTCTGAAACTCAAACAGAACCTGGGTGGAGGATCCATTTCAATTGCCTTCCTGTCAAGCATTGCTATATGTAAAAATTGCCAACTAGAAAAGAATACACCACCAAAGATGCAATTCCGGACAACTCCTGATCTGAGACCTCTCCACAAGGCACCCCATCCTTCCAGGGAAATGATATCTAAAGGCCTTTGGACATCATAAACAGGCGGTGGTCTTCCAGATCCGGTCAGCATCCAGGGATACTCTTTCAGGGCACCAACCATATGGGAAGGTTTGGTGGATATGGTGGACAAAAGACCAACAGTTTGGTCCCACGCCCTTTTGTCAGGAGTATATCCACGAATTAATTTTGCTGCCATTGGAGAAGTGACTTGCTTTTCTGAGACAAACCTAGAGGTTGGAAAGCGAGAAGCTGCAGTCACCTGTGAACGAAGTTTAAAAAGTTCAAATGGAGTGCTAATAAGAGCTTCCAAGGCTCCAGCTGCAATGCCTGCCAAAAGGGCCTCAGAGACATTTACATAATTTTCTTCTCGTCCATCTGCAAAATATTGGCACATATATCAGAAAGGATAAAGTGCAAATCACCTACAACAACAAAATCAGGAGATAATTGTATAAATTTCTAATTTCCAGGCTCCGTAGCAGGGTTTTTGAATGTGTGCTTGCATTTGTGACAAAAAGGGAGTGCATTTTTTGCAGTGCATGAAGACTCCTGTCCCCACATGACTAGGATTGCGCATTGATCTGGGCTATGCTCAGTTTGTGCATGAAAATTTCAGGCTGAAAATTGTTTTGAAAGACACACCTAGGCACATAGGTAAGGTGCATTTTGAGGTCTGCATCTTGCTTGAACCAAAGCAAGACCATATGCAAAAGGTGTGTGCCTGAGGTGAAGAGCAAGGTGACCTAGGCAAGAGACTTACTATATTTTTGGTCTTTTAGCTTTCTATGTTCCATGTGTTTTACACCATTGTAATGGTCTGTTAACTTCTAAATAACCTTTTATTATGTGCTAGTAATGATCTCTTAATTTCTAAAAGAAATAAAAAAAAAATCTTTTCAACGCTTGAAGACATAGCTACCTAAAGTGATGCAACTGAAGGCACAAAGATATGCTGAGTTTGCTGATTCAAAAAAAAACAAACGAAGAGAGAGAGAGAAGGAAAGAGTTTCACAGGTATTGAATGCTTATAACACTTTGAGCATTGAACAATTGTAACTTTTAAACCAAATTTATTTTGTTATCAGGTGGTGACTTTTCAACTTTGTGATTTACCTATTATGTGGTTAATATGAAACTTTAAACTCGATTTTGACCTTCTTAATGCCTTCATGAAATTGTGGATCTTGGATTATAGCATTTTATTTATATTAAATTATCGATGTTTTTCTTTGAAATATGGTCATGGATTATCACATTATTCCATTATGGAGGCTTACATGATTTTTATTTGATTTAGAATCTAGATTTGCATATTCTTATACATCAAACTTTTTGATTCATTTTGGCAAAAATTGTGCCTTGCTTCATTCAGGTAAATGCCCTAACTTTAGTGTTTTGTTGTGTATCTTCCTTTTCGAGGCATTGGGCTGAGGCCAGCCTGAAGCCCAGTTAGCATCGCACACACGCATGCCCGTCCCCACTCACGCACACAGAGAGAGAGAGAGAGAGAGAGAGAACCTTTATAAAAAGCTGTCAGAAGTTCATAGGATCCAAAACGAGCTCCCAACCCTGAAATCCTCCCCAATGTTGACCATTGCAAACCACTATATAAACCTACAATATTCATCAAAGGGAGCATTTAATTGATCCAACAAGAATGATGATTAAAGACCAAGGAAAAAATCCACTAACAACATATCTAAAAAGGCCATATAAACACAGAGTAACATTGTAAAAATCATTTCCCTTCCTCCCCCCCCCCCCTCTCTCTCTCTCTCTTTGCAAGGGGGGTGGTATAAATGGTACAAGTTATTTTGATGCTTTAAAGCAATTCCAAAAAATTAAATAACCTTTTAGCATAAAAGTGTCTCATTATGTCAGTTTGCAAATCTGTCTTTACAAAAACATAAAAGGCTTTTTCAATTCACAAGACTTGCTCTCCTATTTTAGTCCAGTTCAGAAGCCATGGATATCTTTCATTCTGCATTTGGGAGAATGAGAGACAGATACTACACTGCTCCATCAAGTCTAATAACTTTTATGACCACTTACTTTTGTCAACTTTCAAGTTTTCCATCTCTTTCACTCAACCTAGAACAGGTGCAAACATCAAAATCCACTTTCTAAAACTTACACTATATTGAGGGAAAAAAGGATACACATAAAATCAATGGCTTATATATAAAACCTTGCCCTTGATGCAATCCATAACCAAGGGAAAAACTGCTAACCATGATCCACATGGACCTTCAGCCCATCTGGTCTCTCATAAAAACATCCAATAAACCAACACAAACAAGGCCTCTAGGTTACATCAAAGATGTTAAATATGTTAGTATTGAGCTAGAGTCTCTAGAGTCCATGCTTGAGATATTTATTGCATTTTATAGCATTCACTGGGTTCCCTTCTGCAATAAGCTTAAGAGGTTTATTCTCATTAGCAAAGTGTAATCCATAGAGAATATATACAGTTCCACCCTGTTTATGTCCAATTTGACCAAAAGACAAGAAGATCACCCCTTTGGAGTACCAAGAAATACCTTCAACCCAGACAATGAAGAACTTTCCAATAAAAATAACGAACACCCATAAAATATCACTGACAACTGGGAAATGGGAAACTAAAATATGCTCTGGAGATAAGAAGATTCAAAGCACTGATAAAAGGAGGATAAAAGACATTAAGAATGACAACTTGCCTCCCATGCATAGATGGAAGTAAGCAAGGAAAATATATGAGCAAAAAGTTCTTCCCCTGAAAGCATATACAATCCATCACCCACCACTCAAAACCTATCCTACTTAAAATGAATTCTATAAAACCCCAATTAGATTGGTTATAAGTTTTTTTTTTTCATTTTTGGCTTGCAAATTTTCTTTCTATCCCTTTAAACGAAGGAGCAGAACAAGAAAATTAATTTTGATTTAAGATAGAACCTTATTATTCCCCATCCAAAGCCACATATTTTTACCTAATATCCACTAAATAAGACTATCACTAACGCAGAAGATTAGGAAATATAGAGAAAACAGCCAAGAAAAATGTGCCACAATGATATATTCCTTTAAAAAATGCACTCATTTATTAAGCATTTTTACATGTTTTGTTGTGTATCTGCAGATATCTTCCATCTAGTTCCTTGTCATTCCTATTTGATTTGTTTTCTGTGGACCGTTTCAAGGAAAATGGCATGATACAAATTTACAGGTACCAAGGAGTAAAGGTATCCACAGAATAATTATCATGCATGATAGAGCATTTAATTTCCAGACAAAAAGAGAACCATGGTTGGAATCAATGAATAATCGTTTAAAGAACTTAAATCTACGTAAATACATACATGTGTTGGTGTGTGTACATACGTATCAAGTGTTGCTTCTGTGAACCGTCTGAACTCTGAACTATTAAAATGTATGAAATAAAACTAGAAAAGAAACGTAGAATACACCCGAAGAAGAAAGGAATTTCATGGGAATTACCTAAATTCCCTGACACTGATCGAAATCTATCCAGTGCTTGAGCTACAACCAACTGTTTACCAGGTCCTGTACCAACCTGTTTAACACTTGAATAAGTAAAATAATTTCTACTCTAGGGTTCTTGCTTTATAATATTCCAGAACCGAAAGAATATAACAGAATAACAAAAGCAAAAATCGAACGAGATAGAAGGGTTTAAACCTGAACTAGAGTTTTGAGAGTATCGAGTGGATGAGTGAGAGCAGTCCCTAACGTTACCGAACCAGCTGCAGCAATGGCATGAGTTGCAAACATGTGGTTCTTCAAAAGTTCCTCCATTGTACAAGTTTTCAGGAACCTCAAATGCAATAGTGTGTTGGAGAAATTTCAACTTTCAACCCTGCATTTGCAGAGGGGCCTTCTTTATATGTCCCCAAGTCTTTAAACATTTTAGGTCATAAGTATGTAAAATACGGCGGTTTCAATGAATGATCAAACAACTGGAGTCGAAGAGCTCTCGTTCAAGTAAAGCATCAGATCAGACTCGAATAAAGAATTTTCATCACTTGTAGTTACCGTAGGAGTCAATTAATTGTATCAGTCTCTGAAACATGTCCAAATTTTGTAGCATCAGATCAGACTGGAATCTCCGTTTAAGGACCGGAACAGGTGCAGCCTCACTAAAATTTCGGTTTCAGTGAGGTTTTCCCATCTTTATACTAATTATAATTTTCAACTTTTATTAATTTTTGAAAATTTTATTTATTTTAAATTTTTATTTTTTCAAATGGTAAATATTTTTCATTTTTGGCATGTAATTGTTTTATTTTACATATAATTATAAAATGAAACATATAAGTCATTTAACGTAGATAAATAAATCATTTTTTATAATTTTCAGTTTTTTATTATAATTTTAGAAAAGCTAACTCTTAAATTATTTTATTTTAGTTTTTTTATAATTATCATTCTATTTCAGTTTTTATAATTATAATTTTCAAACCGATTAATTTGACCAAGACCAAGTTAGTATGTTTTCTATTATTTTAGGTGGCTTCAATTCAACCATTATACTAACTCAGAGGTCAGGTTGGTTTTGGTTTGGCCATTTGTAAATTGATCAAAACCAACCCATTTGACCCAAACCACTAACCCACTACCAAAAAGGAAAATAGTTTGATTTATAGGTTGACATTAAATTTTGTATTACATTTCCATCATTGATAAAATTATTTCTTATGTATAATTCGTATTCTTGCTCAATATAATAAATTTATAATATTAGAGATGTATTTAATATTTTAATTTTTATAAATATATAACATTARATATGTGCCCAAATTTTCTCTTTTTTTTAATTTTTGTTATTATTTTTTATTTTCTATTTTTAAAAGTTTTATTATTTGACTATGGAATCATTTCATTTATAATTTGATTTTAAATTTGGTATTCCATTATCATCATTAATAAAACTACTACTTATTTTTGTTTAGTATAATGAATATACAATATAAAAGATATGCCCAATTCTTCTTTTTGTATTATATATTTTATTTATTTTAATTTTTATTATTTAATTATAGCATTATTTATTAACCCATTTGACCATAAATAGTTTAATTGTTTACCAACCACTAGGAGGAAAGAAAATGGTATTGTTTTCAAATTTTTGAAATATTTATTTTTATAATATTAAAATTAATGTTCTAGATTTAATTAGTAGAATTTAATGATGAGAAAGAATATATCTTAAATGTAGAATTTAATGAGATAGAATATGAAAATGGTTTTATTTCCAATTGGTTTTAAATTTTACATTCCATTTCCATAATTAATAAAAACATTTATTATTTATCATGCTTATTATTGTTAAATTCTACTAATTAAATCTACAACATTAATTTTAATAGTATAAAAATAGATTTTACATTCCATTTCTATAATTAATAAAAACTTGACTTATTTATCATACTTATTATTGTTTAATATGTCAAATATATGATGTAAAAAATGTTCTCAATTTTTTTAATTTTTATATTTTTATGCATTTTATTTAATTTTGAATTTCATGATTTAATTGTGGCAACATGGATTGACCCTTTTGACCCAAAGTGGTTTAACTTCTTACCACCACCTAGATGAAAACACTAATTTTTCAAGTAGATTTTCAAAGTATAAGTTTTTATGTTATTGGAATTATTAATTTATTATATATGAATTTAATTAATATAATTTAATGATGAGAAGAAACAAAGCTGCCTTAAATATATGGTTCAATGAATGTAAATGAAAGTTAATACCTTAAAGGTTGGATTTAATGAGAATGAATTGAATATCTTAAAATTACCTCTTTTCAACTCATTTAATATCAATAACCAATTATCCTATTTGCCCTCATTTTTTATCAATAAATTTCAATATAGAGGGGTAAATTTTATCCTTAGAAAATTACAGAAATATTCTTAAGGCTATTCGTGCTTTTTAAAGTAGTATAGATCGGGAGAATCCTAAATAGCTAATTGGTGAAGTCTCTTGCAAGTAATAGCGGGTAATAACGGAGACTTGGGGATCGAATCATAAATCCTACCTGGTTTTAGTTTGGGTTGCGGATGCAATCAGATCGGATCAAATTCGAATCAAGATATATTGGAATCCAATCTGATAATACAAATTATAGATTTGATCTGATCATATTTGAATCCAAATTCATTAAGGATGTCCGATATTCAAATATGATCTTATGTGATTTAATTTCTGAAAATTTTAATATATATTAAAACAAGTAAGTCTACAAATTTTCTCCTTTTTTTATTTTTTTTAATCCATGTCATTTTCGAAACTACCAATTAGAAACTTTACTTTCCCCCAAAAATCTCTCTCTCTCTCTCTCTCTCTCTCCCCACATTCCAATAACCTAAATAATCTAATATCCTAAAATTTCTCCTAAACAACCTCCCCCGCTATCCCCAACTTTCTCCTAAGTTATCTCTAATTTAGTAAAGAGTTTATCTCCTAAATTATCTCTAATTCTTATTTATCTTCTCCCCCACTTTTTTATCTACATCTATCTAAAGAAAGTTTGAATTAAAAAAAAATTCAGAATTATTTAAACATTCTAACAAAGTTATACAATAACTTTAAAATATTTATTAAAAAGACAAAAATAATTATAATCAATTTAATAATATTCATGTTATTAATAATTATACATTTTTACAAAATTCATCACTAAATTATGTACAAACAATATAAATTATGATTTTTTCTGGATTATTTAATATAAATGTTATTCAAATAATAAAAATCTAACATTAAAAATGAAATATTATTTAAATATTTCAATAACAGAATATTAAAATTAATATTTTAAATCAATTAATAATATATTTTAAATAGTTATTGAATAATTTTCAATTATAATAAATAGATTAAGATCTTAAATATTTAGTTAAATAACTAAATATTTTAAATAACGACATATTTAACATAACTAGATTTTAAATAGATAAAATAACAAAATTATGTATTAATAGTACTATAATTTTATGGATTATTAAAATCAACAAGTAATTAATATTTTAAAATTTAAATAACGATATTATTTAAATAAATAAATAATTTTGTAAATAACTAATTTCATTTGTACCAACTAATAATTCTACAAAATAACATTCAAAATAGTTATTGTTTATTAATAATAATTTTAAAAACTTAATCTTTATTTATTATATATTATATATACTAAAATTAATATTTATTGTATTTTAGTAATTATCTATTGCCTTTTGTGATAAATATATTTTCAATAATTATATATAAATCTATTTTGTTTTGTTATTTAATAGAAAATCTTCAATAATTACTGGAGTTTAAGCTACTATTATTTAGCTTTTTAAATTTGGCCAACCAAATCAACCTGGTCAGGTTGGGGGGTTGGTCACTCAGGTTATATCGGTTTAGGGTCAATTTTTGGTTTCGGTCGGTTCAAAAGATTTAAACTTAAAAAATTAAGTTTAAATTTAAAAAAATTACAATGCCATTGTTAAAAAATAAATTTTAATTTTAAATTTATGCTATAAACTATTTTAGCCTATGAAATATTGGAATTTTCCCACTTTCCCATATTAAAAAAATATATTTAAAATATAAAATATTAATACATATCTATGGTCGGGTCGTTCGATTTTAGTTAGTTTACAAATGGCCAAAGCAAAACTGATCCAACCTAGTCGAGTTGGGAAATTGTTAGACCAATGCCAAGTGAAATACTAGAAATTGAATTGGTTAGTTTCATAAATTTGATTCGGAATGGCAACAGGGTGGGGTGGGGTGGGGTGGGGACGAGGAGCCTGTCCCCATCCCCGCTAACGGGGACAAAGTTATCCCCATCCCTATCTCCACAGGGATCCCCATCCCCATGATTCTTTATAATGTCAACCATTATGTTTTTGTTTTTTATTTTATTTAAAAAATAAAAATAAAATAATTAAAATTTACAATACTATTAGAAAAGATTCAAATATATTCAACTATATTTTTAAAAATATTAACATACAGACATATGTGTGTATGTATAATATATAAAATGYATGCGTATATATACATATGTATTAGCGGGGATCCAATGGGACGGGGGGCGGAGTCCATTCCGAGCAAGGAGCTCTCCCCATCCCCACCAATGGGGATGAAGATTTCCCTATCTCCGTCCCCACAGAGGGAAAATCATCCCCATCCCCGCCTCATTCGAGGCAAATCCCCACGGGGATCAGGAAAATGGAGAAAATTGTCATCCCTAAGTTTGATAAACAACCCCATCTAAAATTAATTATTGTTATTTTTATATTATAAAAAAATATTAAAAATGATATATAAAATATAGATAATTATTAAAAATGATATGTAAGATAATTATATACTCTTACATGTTCCTATTGTTTATTTTTAACAAATCTTGCACGGATCATGCTAGTATATCATTAAAATGAAAAATATAATAGTTTATATAAAGAAAAACAAAAAAAATACAAATATTTTTCAACTTACATGTTTTTTTATAAAAAATTATATGGACTCCGGATCGGATCAGATACATTTGCACCCGAAATGTGCTAAGTTGGGTTTGAGCCCTGGGGGGTGGGGATTTGGGTTTTCGGGGTTTGGTGTACAGACCAGAGACAAAAAAAAGTACATCCTTTTGTCCCTTGGTGTAGCCCATTCGTCTGCATAAAGACAGGGCGGTTGTGTCAACGGAAGCTTTCAAAACTGGATTGTGAAACTGCCATCTTGTACTTGTCATTGATCAGTGGATTTCAGGATACTGTTGCTAAGGTGTGCTTGCAGTTCCAGAAGAGGAAAAGACAGAAAGGCTTCATATTGTTGGTACTGCTGGTACAATGTTTTTTCCTCCTCTCCTCTCTTTTATTTTATTCACATGAAATCTCTGTTTGATTTCATTTGATTTCTCTATAGTGTGGGTTGAGCTGGTTGGCCATTTCTTGGCTGGAGAACTTCGTCAGTTTGTTTCATTTTTCTCAGTAATCCAGGTTGAACTTTAACCTCAAAGTTGAATCAAACACCAGGGATTACGAAAATTGTTTGTTTCCGAGGAAATCATCAGTCTCCCCTTTGCCCTCTCCCTCTACCTGCAATCAAAGCAGCCTTAATTGTAAATGTAAAATCTGATCTAGAACCAAATTTGTGGGCTTATCCTTGCGAATTGCGATGCAATGCAGTAGCCAATGCCCAGTAGATGAGTAGAGCAATCAAATCGACTGATCAAACCATAGCCCCAGGTCCAGTATACTAAGGTTTTAGATCACCCAACGAGCCGCAGTTGATGCGAACTCTAATTTAATTCCTTGCTTGTGTAGCGTTGAAACAGTAACACAAATGACCACACTGGTTCAAGGTGACAAGTTCGAGATGACCAGCCTGCTATTCTCTCTCTTTCTCTCTCTCTCTCTCTGGTGGTGCAGTGCAGACACTGGGTCACCTCGGTTTGTGTATATACGTCTGTTTTTTGTTGCAGTTTGCAGAGGCCTTCTTTCTCTTTTCATTTATTACCGTATGATGACTACTGCTGATAGTAGCAAGTCCTTCTTACAACATCTTCCGAGGAGAGAAAGAGAGAGGTAGGATTCCATTTACTGTCTCTCTAGCTCTGAATTCTCAACCTATACGCAAGACAAACCTCTACCTACAATGAAATGAATTCATATATCTGTTCATCACTGACTTAATCTTCTATCGGAGCTCGAGATACATACACGGTCTGTTTGATTGATGAACCGTTAGCTTTTGCCCCACCATGGATGATTACACTCATGAAACTTCTCAGTTCATGTTGTTTATTCTGGATACTAAATTTTCTAACAGAAGATAATTATCACGAAAAGGAAAACTTAATTGGCTCATCTTCTCCAAGTAATTCCCAGAGTAGAGCCCCTGAATATAGTAAATATATTTTCCCTTTCCAGCCAAGCTTGCTTCCCAGGATCCCATCTCACCCAAACAAATGGGATCATTTATTGCTTAGTAAACCAAAAATTAATAGAAGATAGTTATATAGTACAGTCATGTACACTGCTGTGTCTAAAAACAGTCAATCTTCTGCTGTTGTTTTATCAGTCTGGCCCAAAAGCTGAGAGGTTATCCAAGAGATAGAGAATGGTCCTTGTTCATCAAGCTGTCATCCAACTAGTCCCCATGCATCAACCTGTCTGTGTGTGGCAAACCCTTTTCCTTTCTTTTGATGGATTACTCATTATCTTTTGCATCATATCTGCTTTTTATAATTGGTTTCTCCCTCACAGCATCTTCTTTTTTCCTTCAAAAGGAATAGAAATTATCAGAAGATTCAGCTGTAAAGGTTCCTGCAAACTTGGCAGCCTAGCTATTTATTATTAGGGGTGATTCTATAGGCTTTAAGTCCCTAAAAAGAACTGTCTTCCAGAGCCAAGGGACCACCTCAAACGGTACAAGTTTAGATATACTTGTGAGTTGTGAGCAGAGAGAGTGAGAGAGGGGTTAGCCTTTGCTCAACGAAAAGACAACAGAGTGTATGAAGTGAGAAAAGAGAGGAAGAGGGACAGACTACAGAGAAAACCGATTAATCATATGGTGTTCGAGTGAGTTGTCAAAAGAGAAGATTTGGGTGATTTTAAACTCGTCGACAAGAAAGAAGGATAACTTGTTTGTAAAGCAAAATCTTGCTGGGGAACTGAAAGAAAAACTGTTAGAAAATGAATCAATAAATAGATGTTTTCCTGATTGCTTTCTGAGCTAGGAACTTGTTTTATAGTAGACCCTTCGACTTTCTAACATACCCATCATCAGCTATCATATTTCGCTGTTGAACTGTGAGTTATTCAAATCTCTCTCTCTCTCTCTCTCTCTGAGAGACACAGTATCAATTTATCATCCTCAACATCATCATGGGGGTTTCTAAGGAGCAAAAGAGAAGAATCTGGTCTGTTGTAATAGCGACTCTGCAGATAGTGAGTTGGGTTTCTGCAACCGGCAGGCCTTTTGCAACATATGATGGTGCTCGTCGCCCAGGTTAGTTTCAACTTTCGGCACCTTTCATTGATAAGTTTTTTTTTTTTTTTTTTTTTTTTCCACAACTTTTTCTGAAGCCTATGATTGGTCTGATAGAAAATAAGTGCAACAGAAAGTTGAGGGAAAATCAAGTTCTTACGGAACACCTACTTGAAAGTTGAAACATTTTCTCTTTTTTATTTTCTTCTGAAGTTCAACAACTTTAACTGATCTTCTATTCTTGGTCAATCACAGGCCAAAGTCCAGCATCTTTACAAGCTACGTTGCACAAACAACAGGTATAACTAAAAGTCATCTCTTTCTCTCTCACAAACACACACAAATGGGTTTTCCTGATTACATACTCATCTGATTCTGTTTCTTTTAAAGGAATTCAAAAGCACGGAGGGAAGGTTGATGAATGAAGTAGCTTATAAAGGGTTGAGCACAATGGGGTCCAGGCCACCAAGCTGTGTGGGAAAGTGTGGTGGATGCTCTCCATGTCAAGCCATACAAACACCCACAACCACCGATCGTGTTGGTGCCCAGTATGCCAATTATGAGCCAGAGGGCTGGAAATGCAAGTGTGGGACATCTTTCTTCAACCCATAATGCTTCACTCATAGAGCTACCCATCTTTCTTTTTCTGTTTCTTTATATCATCTCATCTCCCTGTACAAATTACAGACCCATATTGATTTCCAGCTTAAAAACAATGCTTAGGGGTTCGGGCTTTTGCTGGAGGCCTGGTAGGATTACCTTTTTTTTTTTTTTGGTAAAATGATTAGAGTGCTCTAGCCACTAGTTCTTTTGTTTTATGTGAGAGAAGATAGACTATACGAGTTCTTTTTCTCTGTATTCGAGGTGGCGGGATCTGCYCCTCACAAATGGGCGCCTCACACGCACGTCCACCGTGCACTTGGAACATCTTCCGCGAATACCAATGCATGGTAGGATGTGCATGTGAGACGCCAGGTGTGAGGAGGAGATCCGGTCTCGTATTCAAGTGCCATAGACCATAAATAAAAGTGTGAAGTATCATTTACGGAAGTTCACCGAAATCAAAATGTTTTTAAGTGAAAATATTAACAAGTATCCTAGTTCTTTTCAATTCAAGATTAAGTGTCTGCTGAGGAAAACCAGCTTTTCATTATATCCGATATAGCTTTTCATAGGCAATCCCCCGTCGTCTAGTCCCATGAAATCATGAGGCCAAAAAATACGAGGAAAATGAATTACACCTCACTGTTTTGTTGAATAATGAGAACTACGAGCACTGCACCAGGACATGAATCTAAAATGACCAGTATCATCTTGGAGAATGACTTATTGGATGTCATTTTCCTTGCATTCACTTTCATATTTTGGAAAAATATTTGCTTTTTTATAAAATTGTTTGTTTTCCACTTATATTTCTTCTTTATTTCATGTCCAACCAGTGTCAATATCTTGATTTCATGGACTACAGATTGCCTAACATGTATCTCTAGAAATATGCTCTACTGCCACCAATTTCATTTGAAGAACTATGTATTCCTAAAAATTTTACAGAAAGAAATAGGAAAAGGCACAAGAAAAAAAAGTTTGGCGCTATCTAAAAATAAAATAACGCATTTTCCAGCCCCACTTTTTTCTGTGGTTCTGTTCAAGACCATCCATGTGCATATGATGTACGGTTGATAACTAAGCAGGAGATGATTTTTCAGGCAGTTCTTTCAACTCCCAGATGGCCTGACTGGTATGTGTAATAGGATTTTTAGTAGAATGCTTCGCCTTCATGTAGCTGATACTGATACAGACTTCTGTCTTGGTGGAACACGAAGCCAAGACTTCATCATGTCATATGCAGTGAAACCAATTGCAACAGAAGGAACAATCTACAGAAAATAAAAAAAATAAAAAAAACTTTGTCAATCACCTTACTGGCTTCACAAAATTTTACTGGTTAGATGTTAGATTAGACCTTATAAGATAAAGAAAACGGTTTCAACTTCCATATGTTCTGGAAGTTCGGGAATACGCTACATTAAGTGAACCTCCATTACGATCAACACAAGCTGTAAAGCTTTATTTTGGTGTTGGGACTTGAGATACACTCTTGGGTCATACTGAAGTCATTTTTCCATGAATGGCATTTGGCAATCCACCATTTAAAGGAAAAACCCAATTCGCATTAAGAAAACTGAAGAAATTTAATAAAACAGGGGTACTCTTCATCTTGACGAGAATAGAAGACTTGTTTATCAAAGATTTTACCAAATACACAGTTGTCAAAAAATGGCCACGCAAAACAGTTTGGGGCAAAGGAGTATTTTACAATCATTACCTTCAAATAGTTGATACTTAGGCCAGCAAACAGCTGTCTCCATCCCTGGTTACGGATAATGGTAGTAAGCCCTTCCACTGTGCTCCTGTACCTAAGATGGCTTCCTTGGTTTAATGGTTGAAGACTCTGGATCTGAAAGATCATTGTGTTAATAACTCAAAGAGGAGAATACTCAGAATAGGTCAATGAGCTCAACAAGGTGGAGCTGGTACCCAAGGTACGTGCTGGGTGCAAAGGTTCCCAACTGCATGGCAATATATTGGGACATGCAAACTGTTGGGTCTGTTGAATTAGATGGATGGGATCCATCTTTTTAAGGGACTCAAACCAACCACCCTCCACCAATTTGAATTACCAATTGTTGGTTCTAACCTTCAGCACACACAACATAATTACTGCCATAACATTGGGACCATTGTCTTCTATCCAACCAATACCATCAACTTTTGTTGGTACTGGGCTCAAACCTTCACCGACAAATCCATTATTACTTTGCTCTCTTGATAGAACATTGAAGATTTAGGATAACTAACAGAATAAAATTAAGGATATATACTAGTTGAGTATATTAGAAAAGCAAAAGTGTGCAATACCTGCATCTGTCTCCTCACCACATCCAGTGGGTATGTGAAGGTCTGTCCAAACAGCCCTGCTAGAGCTCCACAAGATAGGCGCATTATGATGGACTTTTGGTGTTCTTCGGGAACATGTCTCTTGAGTTCCTCGTATATATAGAACTTAAGACCAGCATAAGGAAGGATGCCAATGAGCGTTGGACCTGCTCAAAGTATGTCTCATTCAGTATTAAATAGATGATTACATAACATTGCAGAGAAAGTCGCTAGAATGTTGGCAAAGATTGCTAACATGTCTTTGACTGCTAAGGATCTACTATTGTTAACACAAGCATGTTCACTCGTGATTGGTCACATATCCAGGTTCACACATTTGTTTTTGCACCAGATCCAAATTGGTCTTTGACATTAAGAGGCAGAGGCAATTCACAAAATGCACAGTAGTTTTCCTCATGGACCAACAATTTGACAAGACCAGAGAGGAGAATGAAACTATACATGTCAAAAAAAAAGGAAAAAAAGAAAAGAAAATGAAAGTAGAAGAAATATAGCAAATTTGTGATGATGTGGATTCAAACACAACAACTAAGATATGGCAGAAACTTACCTACACCTCTATATAAGGCATGGATTCCACCTTCCCTGTATACACTTCTGAAAACATCCTTTATCCCATGATATTGAGGTTGAAGTTGAACATGATAACTACTCGCACCATTTCTGAAAGTTGCCTTCTTGTCCATCACCTATAAAACCATGCAACGAATAGAAACTATACTTAGCATGCTCGAAAAAGGCAAATTAATTAAAACTTGACTTTGCAGTGCAGTTTCAGTTTCTCACTCCCAAAAAACATGGAAATAGTGGATAGAAGTTGGTTCATTGTGCATATACTTGTGATTTTATGGAAACATAATGCACCCAAATGCTTATTTGAGAAATTTCCCCTGATGCATCCGGAAAGGTAGGCCTATCAGGGTATTGAGTACAGGATTAATAACATTGATATGTAAACATTATGTCTCTCTTTGTTCCCATATAAAAGGAGTGGAAGTTTTTTTCATTACAAGAGCTGGAAAAACAGGAAAGTTGGAGATAAACATAGCCATCATTTTTCTTAAGTACATGAAAGCTGGAAACACAGTGAAAGCTTTCACTATTCGGCAATTAGATTTCTCCCAAAAAGAAAATATTATTTTCTATGATGCATCAAGCACAATGAGAGGTTTAACGCATTGTCAAATGCAACCTAGGAAATAGAGATTCAAAAYGTAAAGAAATTAAAATATACAAAAAAGGGAATCCAAACGGTGAAGGCTTGAAGATCAATGTACCCAAATAATTATTGACCAGCCAATAAGCTGCAAACAATTAACAACARTGCAACTACAGCTCCCACACACTCCTAGACCTCAACAGCACCCCCCCCCCCAGGTTATGCTGCCGAAGCCCCTTAGCATCTGAAACCCAGGAAACCAGCTTCCCAAAAGAAAAAGAAATTAATTACTCCTTTTCTTTAAAGGTCTTTGGAAAAGCCTGCTTTTTCTTTCAGTCCAGATGGTGCTACTCACTGCAGCCGGAACAAAGGTCCAACACTCTAAGGCATTGCCCAAACCAAACCAACCCCAGCACTGAAATATAGTGCCACCAGAAATAGGAGGTAAAAGAGCAATGGAGGAAGAGGTGAACATCTATCCAGAGCAGCAGCAGCAGCCTACACCAGAGCATTTACTTTTGAGGAGAAATGGGATTCCAAATTCTGGAAGCAGGAACTGCAACAAGACTTCTCTCTGAGAGCTTGAGAGCAAAAGACTAAATTAAAAAAAAAAAAAAGTCCATCTGCATTCCACTTCGAGTTCCAATTGTCCTCACTGTTAATATCCACCACCTGATCTGAAACAAGTTCAAGAATCTCAGAAATTTAACAATCTCCAAGTCCTGAAAATTCCTTCAAAAAGGACACCAGATTACTGTCCTCCCATTATACTCATAGCAGTCTGCCACTACTGCATCTTGATTTTCAGCAATCGGAAACAACAGTGGGAATACTCTGAAAGAGAATGGTTGCTACACCAAGGACTAAGGCCTCTAGTAAAAGTTGGGAGAATGTCCATAGTTTTTCCTCCAAATTGAGAACCCTATGGAGGGCAACGAAGTAGTAGTTATCCAATCTCCTCTATCCGATCACGGCAGCAATTAAGTCTCTTCACAACTTTCCCCTTTCCACCCAAAACCTCTAAATCCACTTCCCAAGCAGAGCAATGTTAAAAACCTTCAGCCTCCTAATCCCCAGTCCTCCTTCGCAACTGGAACACAAATCTGATCCCACTTAACTAAATAGATCTTTTTTTCCTCCTGCCAACCCTTCCACAGAAAATCCCTCTGCAATTTTTCTATTTTTTCAGCCACTTTCACCAGAATTGGAAACAGGGACAGGTAGAAAGAAGGCAGGTTAAAGAGAAAGCTCTTCAAGAGGGTGATCCTACATCCAAGAGACAAGTATTTAACTTTCCAGGATGAGAGTTTTTTTTCAAGGCACTCCAGAACTGGATCCCAGATAAGAGTCAAGGTGCATTTAACCCTCATAGGGAGGCCCAGGTGTTTAGTTGGCAGATAACCCAATTGGCATACAAGAACTTCAGCCAGTGAATCAATGTTCTCTACATTTCCCATTGGGTCTGGGCTACTTTTACAACAATTGACATTTAAACCTGCCCCACCACTTCAAACGAGCTTAGAACACCCAACAACACTTCTAATTACTCTGCCTTTGCATCAATGAAGCACAGAATATCATCGGAAAACTGGAGGACTTGCACTCTTTCTCCACCAGGGACCACTACAAATCCCCAGCTCCTCCACCTGATGAATAAAACTTGCTAGGAAATCCATCAGGCAGATGAACAAAGGTGGGGAGAGAGGATCTCCTTGCCTCAGCCCCCTAGAGCTCTTAAAGAAACCAGCTGATTGCCCATTTAAAAGGATGGAAAATTTAGGGGAAGTGATGCAAACCTTAATCCAGTTTCTCCATTTCTGACCAAAATTTGTTCTTTCAAGCATGAAATCTAAGCATATCCAGCTAACATGAGCATAGGCTTTTTCCAAGCCAAGCCTGCAGATCAACCCAGGTTTCCCCTCCCTTTTTCTAGAGTCAATCAGCTCATTGACCACCAAAACACTATCCAACGTTTGATGCCCAAGCACAAATACAAATTGTTTACCTTTTTCAACCTCTCTGCCAGCACCTTTGCCAATATTTTATAAAAGCTATTCAACAAACTAATTGGCCTAAAATCCTCAATGTTTGTGGTGCCTTCTAATTTCAGAATAAGAGACACGAAGATTGCATTTGACTCCTCTCCAATGAAGCATTCTGAAGAAAATCCTAAAAGGCTTCCAGCATATCCTCCTTCACCACCTCTAGGGATGATCATGGGCTGGGCTGGGCCTGATTCAGGGCCTATGTTTTCTATATATATAATATTTTATATATATACATATAATATTTTATGTTAAATGGCATATAATATGCATATAATTTTATTTTATACATTATATAATATAAAATAACATATTATAGTAATTCTACACAAAATATATAACATAAAATAACATACGTACCTATGTATAAATTATGTATAAAATACATATATTTAAATATATGTGGGCCGGATTGGGCTCGAATCTTGATGTATTAGGCCCAGGCCCACCCTAAAATTTGCGGGCCTGGTGCGGGCCTATGCCCAAGCCAGGCCTGAACACAAAACCTAGTCTCAAGCCTGGAATTTCCAAGGCGGGTCGGGCTGAAATGATCACCCCTAACCACCTCCCAACAATTCTTATAAAAAAGTAGGTAAGCCCATCCAGACCTGGGGATTTTTCAATGTTTAGCTTCTTCACCACCTGCCGGATTTCCACTTTTCTTTTTTGAAGGATCAATAGAAAATTTTCATTAAACTGAAAAAGAGGTACAATACAAGTCATTTGGTTGTCAAGTTGACAAACCAAACAAAGATACACCACTCAAACTGAAAATAAATCTTCATTACAGGGATGCAGCTCAAGAGTACTCCAAAAGTTTTCTAACAAATCAGCTTTGTTCACTTTATCGAACTCTGGAAGCTGTAGAACCCAATCTGAGATCAGATTACTCACTGCAGCTACCAGATTTCCACTTCCGAGAAAGGCATTTATAGTTGGAATATCCAACCCAACTATAAATGCATAGAACCCAAATCACCCTTAACCAAATTGAATTTCAATTTGGATTATGGAGAAATGGATACAATTTGCTGCCTTATTCTCACATCAGCAAGATTCTTGTGCTCTCACACAAGAAAAAAGTAGGAACCCTCCTCCCCCCCCCCCGAATTGTAAATTTTCAAAATTTATTTCTACTTAATTATTGCCTTTGTTGTATGCATCTTACAGTTCTAAAAAACACCAGATGCTTAGTCCATCTATTTAGCAAAGTGCCTTTTTTCTATTACATTCTATTAAACCAGGGTAAGTGATTCAATATTTCAACTTTGATTAGACTTGTGAACACAACAATGAACAATGTGAAACAATTMTCCAAAACTTACCAATCTAAAAATTTTATTTTCTAAAATTTCATTAATAGGTTGCATAAGTTCTTGGAAAGATAAATGAGGTGCTAGATTATTTTGCTTTATATTTTCCAAGTTACACTTCATTTCCTATTTCAATTTATATTATTAATTAAATAAAGAGACTTCACATGTAGCATCAAACAATTTACCATTATAAAGTTAGATATGATAGATGGGATCTTATGAGAAACTAAGAAATTTTATTTAAAACAAAATGTTTATAGATTATCTTCAGCAAGAAGAATGTTAAAAGAGAAATGGAAAAATTGATGGAGAATGCAATTGCCTGGAAGTACAATGTTGGCCACCTTACAACTTCCTACAGCAGCTTGCTATAAGGATGAGTGGTTTTATCAGGGCACAACAAAGCTAATTGTGGAGTGACTAAGAAAAATCGTCATCTCTAAAATGAATGGCATTCTTTCTCCCTCCCTCCCTCTCGAAGTGAGAAATCAACTTTTTTTGCTGCCTGCAACACAAAATTTGCTACCTGCAGCATTTTTTTGATCAATAACTGCAATTTCATTAATGAGAAAAAATAGATACAATAAAGTACATGGGAGAGGTAGATACTCTTAACTCTCCCCAAGACAAAGATCAATTACAACAAAGCCCCAAATAGACTTTCTCCCCCCACCCATTGTTTTGCAAGTCAAGTGTATCCACTAAGGAATTAGCCCTCTTTACCCACAGTAGATTTTGCTACCTGCAGCATCGCCAAGGCCTAGCCAGATACTACAAGTTCTAAAAATCAGAAAGCATGGAAATCCAATGACACATACAAGACTCAGATCTACCAAAAAAATGAGAAGTAAAAAAAAAAGAAAAGAAAAGAAATTGAAAAGAAAAAGAAAAAGAAAAAGGTTGGCAGTCATAGGACTGCACTCAGACAAATTATTCAAGGGCCATTAAAAATGACCAAATTTCAAATAAGAAGCAAGGAAACCTTAACATGGGTATTGCTCCAAAGCACAGCACAATAATATTATAAGTGATGGGTTGAACTAATGCACATATACATGCATAACTACTTACAACCTTATTAACCTATTGTCATAAGTACCATTAATAATAATATGAGATGCATAAATACAATTCTATCAAGCAGATGAGAGGCAAATAACACCTTAAGTCATTGACAAGAACTGCACAACATAAAATACTGACAGTTCAATAGCATAAATACTAAAAACAAGCTTATCTAATATACAAAATGATGTGTATCAATCACCTGATAAGCAAGTTTTGTTCGAGCCAAATCTAAGGGATAAGTGCAGAGAACTGCTGTTCCTCCAGCTGCCGAACCAGCTAAAAGGTCAATGAAAGGGCCTGTTCCTAAGACAGAATAGTTGTTCAAGATCCAACATCGGTATTGCTCATATGTCATGAAATGCAATGCTGCATATGGAACTATCCGTAGAACACTTGCACCATTTCCTCTGAAAAGATAAAACAACAATACCTAACTATAGTGCAATCTAGAATAATGTTGCAACATAAAAAACTTCTTTAATTTAAAAACTTACTTATAAAATCCTAATATGCCTTCATGCTTCAGTAACTTTTTTAAGCATCGGAAGACCCCAAGTGACTGAAACCCTTCCGTCCTTGTCTGTTATTTTGCAGATAAAAGAATTGCATGTAATTAGAAGGAATATACATAGTCATTGTTGGGGGAAAGGTAGAGTAAACAACTGATAAATCTAATAGAACAAGTAAACGCAGGAATTGGATCATATAAAATCCTCATCAGAACATTCATCAAAAAAAATCCTCATCAGAAAATCCTGTCAATTGTCTACACCAGATATTTCAACAAACTTGGCCTGCAAGTTGAATATTGAGGGTTCTAAGAGAAATCCTTGCTAACAACAGGACAATCTACAGCTTAATGCAATCCGATCACAACATTTTCTACAAGAGAGCTGAATCGAAAGATTAAAAAAGGATATATGCAAAATAATAAGGTTAAGCTAAGAAATGGTATTTATCACATAAAAAATCTACAACAGTTGATAACTTTACGCGAATTAAGAGAAGAGGCCATAGGTGAACAAAATATTAAATTTCCACGGGAAGCTATCAGAAAACATTACTGCCAGACCCCCGATCTAATACACAAGTCAATTAATAATAATTAAAAATTGATCCAGATAAACGAATGACAACCTAATACAAATCAATCTATTAGACAAATAAATTGTCTAAAATAGGGAGAAGGCCAAAAAAACTAATACTTTAACACATAGAGGTCATGTTTACCTGCAATAGTATCTTAACCCGCTCCAAGGGCGCGACTGCAGTCTTAGAAAATGCTCCGGCAGCGCCTCCTGCAATTAGCTCCTTGACATACGTAGGCAGACAATCAACAAGGAAAACCTCCCCACGCGCAGACGGCTTGTCAACAAACTCCGCTACATTGGTGGACAAGGCAGATCCTTGAGAAGAACCCATCTCAAAGGCTCAAATCACAAACAAACATGCACCAGAAACGCAACCAAAACGATCTATCCGCCGATATAAATATATACCGGAAGAACCCCAGTTAAGTTAACCGGCCTGCAACTTTGCAAACTCTTTATCCCATCTATCTCTCGGTAGACAGAAGGAGAAAGCTTTTTGTTGGAAAGGCAGAGATAATAGCATGAGAATACTCAGAAGCCAATTGGATATCCTCCCATACCGAACCTCGTTCTCGAAGATAATCAAATACATCAAAAGAAGCAAAGATTGTTCAACTCAGGTCGAATAACCGGAAACACTTCAATGGAAATATTTCTCCCATGGATCCAAGACGATTTCACCGATACCCATTTGAAATTCTCAGACAGATATCGATGATGTCATTGAAAAAGAAAACAAGCGAGGGAGAAGAGATTGAAGAAAGCCACAGCCGACCAGGATACGTCTATAAGAAGAAGAGACGGTAGTTTATAGAACCAGACACATTCTCCTTCGCCGCAGCTTTGTTCAGGTCCTCTCCTTTCTTCCCCTCTCTCTCTCTCTCTCTGCACGCGCCCGTGAATTTCAAAAGAAATTTCGATCATTATTGTTGTTATGTGTAGGTTACGACATACAGAGTATGGAAGCATCGCATCGATGGCCGTTAACCGCCAATTTATCCGACCGTTTGATTATTTTTTGGCTTCACGACCGTTTGATTGCTTGACTTCTGCCAAAATCATCGAGTGTGTTCAGCACATAATAGCCTTTTCATCAGAGAGATAATCATCGGTCAAGTAAAGAGACGGTGCTGTTTTTAGGTAAAAAGTGAGTCTTCGTCGTATAAAAACACTCGTTTCATCGTAACCCTTCGATTTTGAACAAGTCAACATTTTTATGTTGCGGAGAACCGGGCAGTGATTTAGCTCTTGGAGACTTGGACGCAACGCAAAACACACGCCGACCAACGAGGCCACGTCCACGACGGTGGCACGTTTGCGGATAGTTGAGAGCAGAAACTGGGTTTTCTCGACCCGGAGTATTAAAATCCATGAAATGCCCAATTGCCCACGATGTAAATATTTTAGGTTCCGTTTGGTTCGTAAGAATTAGGATCTAGAATTCAATCGTTTGATTGGATAGGATTAGAATCGTATTCCCATTCCTGATGGAATGGCCATTCCCCTCTCTTGGGAATAGACCAATTCCAATTCCAATTTTCATCAAAACAGACAATCCCAAATACAAATTTCATCAAAACAGCCAAAGGAGGAATAGACCATTTCAATAAATTTCAATTCCAATTCCATTTCCGACGGTGACCATTTATGGGACTATAAATGGCTCCCCAAGATCCCACTCGCTTCGCCCCTCTTGTAAGTCCTAGAGTAAATTTATTAAACTATCCTTATAGTTTAAGTTTAGTTAATTGATTAAGTATATCTTTATTGTTTAAAAATTAACTACTACTATCTTTTACTGTTTATGAGAATTGATAAATATTTCCCTTACGGTTATTATTTCTTAATATTCCACTAATAACAAAGATAAAAAGATTATTTTACCCCTCTATTTTTGTAATCTAAGGATTATTTCAGTTGGGCTGGTTTTCCGGTGCAAAGAGGGGAGGTGGAGAGGGAGAATGAAGAGGGGAAAGGGGCGGACCACGGAGGAAATCCTGATCCCTTTTCCCTTTGTTTTTCGCCGTCAAAAACCCTGTTGCAGAAACGTTAAAGAAATCACAGAAAAAACAGAGTTTTATGCGAGAGTTTCTAAAGAAAAGTTCACTAAGAGAAGGTCTTGAAGAGCCCCTGCAGTTCAGAGAAGAAACGTGGAGTTCGAGCTCGTTCTGTGGACTTCTGTGATGAGATATGGAGAAAGAAAGGAACAATGGGAGTTTGGGAGCTAACGGGACCATATGCTCTGCTTTCCGGCAAGTGTTTGGGACAATAGATGGTGTTTTTGTTGGATCAGAGAGATGCCTTTTCCTTTTATATTCACGGGAGGAATCAACCGATGGTTATGGGAACCTGTTGCGGCAATCAAAGCATGTAATCTTTGTCCTATGATCTTGATTTAACTCCCTTTTTTTGGCCCAACTTCGTAACCACTTAACACGTGGCAAAGGCAACAGCTCGGCACGATAGTACGCCCAAGGCGCGAGCCTCGAAATGAGGAATCAGCGGTCCTCCCCACAAGGAGCCCGAACTCTCCCTTTGACCCCAGGACTTACGAGGAGCACAAAGGGCAACAACCCGAACTGGCCCACCCCAGGGCAATTCGGGCCACACCTCTATCCGAACTCAAGACTTCACCTCGCACACCACTCCAGCACTTCGCCTCCAGGACGCCGAACTGAACAACCGTACCGTACCTGACACCAAAGGAGTCCGTATCCTGAGGCGGCGCACCTGACTAACTTGGGATCTAACGCTTGACAACCGCACTTCAACGACCACCTGCCACTGCCACCGCCACCTCCAGTTACAGAGACGGTTCCGACAAAGAGAGCAGTGGCGGTTCTGTCCCAGCAGAGGTGATGGCACCCGAATTGGCAGAAGCACAGAGGTAATCATACCCGACCTGACAGGAGCTTGGGAGTGAGTGCGCAAAATGCTTATAAAAGGCCCCCTTCCCCCCAACAAGAGAGGTATGTGATAACTTTGCGCCATCTAATTTTTTATCTTGCCTTTGAGGAAATACTAACTTGAGCTTCAGAGCATTCTCACCGAGTTCTTCCCCGGAGATTACTCGCTTTCTCCTCCGTTTCAGGCACCTTCTGCTCCAGCCCGAGGCAAGATCGTTGAGCTAGGACCGGCCGGATTGCGCACCATCAATTGGCGTCGTCTGTGGGAAACGCTTCTAAAAGCCTCCCTCTAAAACTCTCATAACCCCTTTTTTTTCAAGAAACCCCAACACTCATGGCTTCTTCCAGCAATGTCGGACGTGGCACGGAGATGAACGCCACCGGGGAACAACTTAAAGTCCCCATGGTGTGCATTGGACAGTTCACCATCCCCCTTCTGGTGGATGGGATCCCCAGTCTGAGTACGCAACGAACAGTGGCGCCCGTGAACCTTCCCGTCATGAACGTCCCCCTTCCTCCTCTCCCTGTCGAGACAACCTTTACCGAACCAACTGTTGTTCCCCTGACGACTAGCCAGAACCAGTTTGATGACTTGATGCAATGCATGTGGGCAATGCAAGCCCAAATGCAGCAGTTCCAGCAGCATCAGCTCCAGTAGCACCAAGTACTGCACCATATCTCTCAGTATCACTATCAACAGCAGTTCCCCCAACTGCCTCTGAACCAACCTCAGCTTCCACCTCGGCACCCTACTCCAAAGCCGATTAAGCCCTCCCCTCAGGGCGGACGCCATCATCGAGGAGAAGCCTCCCAACTTCAGAACCCCCCCAAGAGCCAGGCCTCATCCCCGGGTCGGGGGGAAAGAAAAATCACCCCCGCCTCGCAGCTCGCCGGCGGGTCAAGAACCTCGCCTGCCAAGTCAGCACCTCGGCACTCCAAGTCTGAGCTCCCGCCCACAGAGAACCGATTCAGCGTCCTAGCGGCGGACTACCAACAATCCGGGCCCATCGAGCTCGGCAACACAGAGGCCAGTAGCGCCAGTACCAGGCCCACTCAGCAACGAAGACGCTGGCCTGCCAGCTGTGCTCTGCCCGAGCTCAGAGGTAAAGAAGAGAACACTGAAGCGAGCAGTGCCAACACTGGGCCTTCCAAGCAGTCGCGGAGGCACCGACGAGCTCGCCGAACTACCACCCACGTCCTACCCGAGCTCAAAGGTAAAGAAGAGACAAGCTCGGACGAGGTAAAAGCTGCCCCTATTCACTCAGTTCCTTCCCCCCTCTCATCAGAACTCCTTGTAGTCCCCATGCCCAGAGACTTCAAACTCCCCCCTTTAGACAAGTATGATGGGTCCTTCGACCCCAACGACCATGTCGATGCCTTCCAGTCTCAAATGCACCTAGCAAGGGCCAGTGAATCATGCATGTGCGTGGCCTTCACCACCACCTTCAGGGGGGTGGCCCGTACCTGGTACAAGAACTTGGCCCCCGGGTCAATAAGAAGCTGGACCCAATTCGTGCAGGTCTTCACCGCACACTTCGTTACCAGCAAGCGGTGCCCCAGAACCGAGGAAAGCATCTTTGGAGTAGTCCAGAGGGAAGGAGAGTCCATCCGGGGCTACATCAAGCGGTTCAATGATGCGTGCTTGCAGATACCGCGACTGGACCCCGCGGTGCAGCTCGCGGCGGCCAAGAGAGGAGTAACACACAATGAGTTCAAATGGCACATGGTAGCTAGCCAGCCCGCGATTGTAGTCGAATTCCTCAAGCTCGCGGATAAGTTCATGAGAACAGAGGAGGAGATCAACCAAAGGACCGAAAGCGGGATCGAGAAAAGGAAGAGGGAAGGTGAGCCCTCCAACCCAGATGACAGAAGAAAAAACCCAGCCCAGGAGACGAAGCCGAGCCAACCGTTCCGAGCTCCCTTAGCAGCTCATATGGACTACACACCCTTAAACACGAGGCGGGCCGAGATCTTGATGATGATCAAAGACGCCTCGTACGTAAAATGGCCACCTCGCCTAAAAGGGAACCCAAACGAGAGAAACAAAAACTTGTAATGCAGTTTCCATAGAGATTACGGTCATAGTACCGAATAGTGTAATAATCTCCGGGACGAGATAGAGGGACTCATCCGTCGTGGGTACTTGAGAAATTTTGTACAGCATAATAATAATAACAATAATAATAAGACAGATTGGCAAGGGGAGCATGGTAGGGATGCCCCCGAATCTAGTAGCAGGCCGGCCGAACCGTTGCAAAGACAACCTCCGGAAGAGGGGCCGGTTCGGGGAACAATCCACGTGATAGTGGGAGGTTCGGTGGTAGCAGGTTGTACTTCAGCAGCGGCCCGGGCGTCAGTTCGCGAAGCTGCCCGAGAAGAACAAAACCCTCCGAAGAGGCCGAAGACGGAGGAACCGATTTTCTTCACGGAAGACGATGCGCAAGGGGTCTACTACCCCCACGATGATGCGCTTGTCATAAAACTAAGGATCAACGACTTCGAAGTCAGGCGCGTACTTGTCGATTCAGACAGCTCGGCGGACATTCTCTTCAAGTCGGCGTTTGACTAGCTTCAGTTGCAGAGAAGCGAGTTGAAGCCCGCGAACACTCTTCTGGTGGGCTTCAGCGGAGAGGAAGTCAGGCCCCTCGGGAAAATAACAGTACCTGTGGAAGTTGGCACATGGCCCTGTGCGGTTTGACTCAACCACAATTTCCTGGTGGTCGACCCCTCCCCATACAATGTCATAATAGGACGGCCAATCACTCATGTCCTACGGGCAGTGGTCTCCACCTACTACTTGGCAATGAAGTTCCCTACAGACTTCGCTATGGGGGAAACGCGGGGCGACCAACTTGAGTTCCGTAAATGCTATGTTGTCGCCCTGAAGAGAAAAACCAAAGCGGCCGACGACCTTGAACTAGAGCGGTCTACGGAGCAAGGCGAGGAACGAGCTTCACCTAGAGAGGAAATGATCACAATCCCA